ACCGTGATTATGGGTGTCATGATGGATCGGACACGGTGCCGAAGAGGTGGTCTGTTACCCATCTGGAACAAGAACTGTCAAGGACACCCGAGTTCATGGAGTTTACGGCAGAGGAACTATACACCTCAATGCCCAAGGTTTTAGGAGTAATGAGTACTTGGAATGAAGGTAAAAAATACAGTTTTGCAAAGATTGTCTTCATTTGGAAGAATTCAGATAATCTTTTGAAGAGAATTTGTATGGCTGCATGAAAACCCAGACGATGCCTAGACTTGCAGATTGTTTTATCTCCTCGATTGTAGCACCTGAGACTTTAGAGCCAGAGCAGAGCATGAGAATTGCAACCAGAGAGCTTGACCCAGGGGTTCCATGAAACGACAGCAATGTGTGGCACATTATCTGGACACACATGGTGGTTAATTAAGCTTCATGAGCTGTAGCTGACCTGGGGACCTGAATTTCTCCTGTGAGATCCCCAGTGCCTGGCAGAGATGGAGGCATTCAGCCTAAATCCAGCCCCAGGCTGTCACAGCAGCAGGTCCTGTCCTTGACAGAATGCTGCATTCCCTCACAGACCAAAGCAGCTCACGCTTCACAACTGTTTGGCCATGCTACATAAAGCATCTGACTGACAGCATACACCCAAAATAAATGTACCTGTAGTTCATTACAATTGTGTATTTTAAAGACTCTATGCATCCTACTATATTAAATAGAGGTTAGAATGTCCAGGCTGTGAACGGTTAGCTGATGGGACAGTCAGATATGATGACTATAGATAATAGCTGTATATTTATGCTCATGTATATCTCTAAAGAATACCCTGACTAAGGAAACACTCTGAAATGGCCATTTAACAAGCTCCTTAAGAAATACTGGCTTTGGGGGATGATATTTGGGGATGTTTCCTATTTAGTGACAAACCAAAGGGAAAATTAATCAGAGACTCATGGAATTATTTGGGTTGGAAGGGACCTTAAAGCTCATCCAGTTCCACCCACCTGCCACAGGCAGGGACCCCTTCCACTGGAGCAGCTTGCTCCAAGCCCCTGTGTCCAACCTGGCCTTGAACACTGCCAGGGATGGGGCAGCCACAGCTTCTCTGGGCACCCTGTGCCAGCGCCTCAGCACCCTCACAGGGAAGAGCTTCTGCCTAAGAGCTCAGCTCAGTCTCCCCTCGGGCAGGTTCAAGCCATTCCCCTTGGCCTGTCCCTGCAGACCCTTGTCCAAAGCCCCTCTTCAGCTTTCTTACAGCTTTCTTTAGGCACTGGAAGCTACTCTAAGGTCTCCCTGGAGTCTTCTCCAGGCTGAACATGAATTACTTCTTTAAACTGAAAAGCAACCAAATTACTACACAAAGAATGACTCTGTGTTTCTCTGTCGCAGATGACCTACCTCGGATGTGCTTCAAATGCCCCTTCTGCACGCACACGGTGAAACGCCGCGCGGACCTGAAGCGGCACCTTCGGTGTCACACGGGGGAGCGTCCGTATCCTTGCAATGTGTGCGGGAAAAGGTTCACCCGATTGGAGCATTTACGGAACCACTTCCAAACGGTACGGCACCTTTGTCAGAATCTGGCCTGGAAAACCCACAAGGTTTCATTGCTGCTGGCTGCTCAGCCATGGAATCATAGAATAGTTTGGGTTGGAAAGGCCCTTCAGATCATCCAGTTCCAACCCCCCTGCCACAGGCAGGGACACCTCACACTAAACCAGGTCACCCAAGGCTATGTCCAACCTGGCCTTGAACACCACCAGGGATGGAACATTCACAACTTTCTTGGGTAACCCGTTCCAGTGCCTCACCGCCCTTACAGTAAAGAACTTCTTTCTTATATCCAATCTAAACTTCCCCTGTTTAAGTTTGAACCCATCACCCCTTGTCCTATCACTACAGTCCCTAATGAAGAGTCCCTCCCCAGCATCCCTATAGGCCCCCTTCAGACACCGGAAGGCTGCTATGAGGTCTCCACGCAGCTTCTCTTCTCCAGGCTGAACAGCCCCAACTTTCTCAGCCTGGCTCCATACAGGAGGTGCTCCAGCCCCTGATCATCCTCATGGCCTCCTCTGGGCTTGTTCCAACAGTTCCATGTCCTTTTTATGTTGAGGACACCACAACTGCACACAATGCTCCAAGTGAGGTCTCACAAGAGCAGAGTAGAGGGGCAGGATCACCTCCTTTGACCTGCTGGTCATGCTCCTTTTGATGCAGCCCAGGATATGGTTGGTTTCTGGGCTGCAAGCACACACTGAAGCCGGCTCATGTTCATTTCTCATAGACCAGCACCTCCAAGCCCCTCTCCGCAGGGCTGCTCTGAATCTCTCCTCTGCCCAGCCTGTAGCTGTGCCTGGGATTGCTCTGACCCAGGTGTAGGACCTTGCACTTGGCATGGTTAAACTCCATAAGGCTGGCGTCAGCCCACCTCACAAGCGTGTCAAGGTCCCTCTGGATGGCATTCCTTCCCTCCAGCGTTACCAACCAAACCACACAGCTTGGTGTCATCACAAACTTGCTGAGGGTGCACTCAATCCCACTGTCCATGTCAGTGAGAAAGAGGTTGAATAAGAACATTTCCAGACCTAATCCCAGGAAAACTGCACCTCAACTTTAATGATTTGTTGTTTAAATTGGCAAATTCCATTTTCAATTTAATCTTCAAAAAAAAAAACCCGATTTGATGAATTTTTCTAAAAACCAAAAGTAAATTAAAAACTAAACTTTTTGGGGGCTAAATTCTGACATTTTCCAATTTTACATCTCTTTAGATCCATCAAGCTGGCAAACTGATCTGCAGGAAGTGCAAGCGCCACGTAACTGAGCTAACGGGATGCGTGGTCCAGCAAGGAACAAGGCGCTACAGACTGTGCCACAAGTGTCTGGCAGAGGCCAGTTTTGACAGCGTTCCCGAGGATTTAGATGCAGAACATTCCCCCGTCTCCTCCGCGGGAAACAAACGTCCCAAGCGGGCTCTGAAGGAGGAACAGAAGTCGGATGAAGGGACAATGGAGGAACCGTATGATCTGGTTGTTCGCCATGTTAACGACAGTGTTCCAGCGGAGGAAGATGAAAAGGTGAAACCAAACCTGAGGTAGATCTATTTGTTCCTGTTGTAGTCAAGATTAAATTACTCGTGTCCTACCAACTAATGCTCGGTTATTACTTTCATTATAATGAAATATTGCTCCAATTCTAATAGGAGGTGCAAAATACAGACTATGAATGAGTTGGTCTCTACTTACAGACACGCAACAGTGAACTGCTTCTAAATACCATCCAGAGAGTACTTACTGGTTTAGGTTTCATCTCAGAGCTCCTTCTGATAATGGAAGTGCACAGGGCCTTCAGTGAGCGTGCTGCTAGCTGAAACCTGTCACTGCCACAGTTGTGTGAGTGGAACCAGGCGAATTCAAGGTCTGGTTTAGAGGAATTATTTAAGTAATATTAAAACCAGAAGTGACTAACACTGACTTAGTTAATTCTGAGTGTTTTTCTAGCAAAGTCCTGTCACCGTATCTGCAAGCAAGAGTACTTCACTGTACTCAGCTTGTGGCTGATGGTGTCCACAGGGCATCTCAGCACTTGTACGCAGTTAAACTTCAACTACATTGATCTCTCGAGGAATGGCCATGAGGAACTGACTCCATCCCCTCAGGCCCCGGCCACCCCCCAGCCTCTGTGGAGAACAAAGCCGCCGCAACTCGACGCCTGATTGGCTCATCCCAGTCGCCTGACCCCGGGCCAGCCAATGAGGTGTCAAAGCCGGCGCTGAGGGGCGGTAACCGGCTGAGGGGAGCAGGTAGGGGCCGCCATGGCGCTCACGGCCTGGCGGGCTCTGGCTCTTCGCCATGCTGAGGGAACGCCTGGGCCGGTGGGTCCAGCCCTCGCTCGTCCTCCCCAGGAAGAGATATGTGCATATGGGGAGACCCCCTGTAGCTCCCCCCAGTGTGAATATCGTCCTTATTTTTGTGTTATCAAATAGGCGTATTATTATCTTTATTTGCAGAAAAGTCTGCTCACCTCAGCAGAGAGCAGAGCACTTGTTCATTGGTGTTAGAACTCCACTGGCCAAAATAACACACAAATCATTAATGGTTCCAGTCCAAGTTTTATTTAAGCATTGGAACTTTCTCAAAAAATAGAAGGGGTTTTAGGCCTTAATCTTCACAATATGGGAATAAACCCATGCCTGTTTAAGATAGCTTTGTAACAAAGATGGGGCACTACCTCGAGAGGAGGCGCTTGCAGCACTGACACTGAAAGAGGAGCGCAGCCTGACGCGCTGCTCACCTTTTAACTCTCATGTGCCATCCTGTCATTGAAAATAAAGCCCTCATGTAATCATTTGTGATTAATTTCGATGAAGTCCATAATCCTTTGACGTGAAAGGACTGTCTGTGTTGCCCTTTCTAAAGGAAGATACGGAAGCTGATCCAAATCATCTGCTTTTTAACACAATCAGGTTTCACCATAGTTGGGAGTCAACCCCCTGCACATCTGGAGCATCCCCTTAATTGATGGCAGCAAAGCTGCCTACTTCTTAGTAATAACAGCAAGCTAATACCTGCCCTTAGGAGCCCATGTATGTATGTATTAGGATTCCGTATCAAGACAGGCTGAAAACGCTGGGGCTGTTCAGCCTGGAGAAGAGAAGCTGTGTGGAGACCTCACAGCAGCTTCCAGTGTCTGAAGGGGGCTACAGGGATGCTGGGGAGGGACTCTTCATTAGGGACTGTAGTGATAGGACAAGGGGTAACAGGGTAAAACTCAAACAGGGGAAGTTTAGACTGGATATAAGGAGGAAATCCTTTCCTGTAAGGGTGGTGAGGCACTGGAATGGGTTGCCCAGGGAAGCTGTGAATGCTCCATCCCCGGCAGTGTTCAAGGCCAGGTTGGACAGAGCCTTGGGTGACCTGGTTTAGTGTGAGGTGTCCCTGCCCATGGCACGGGGTTGGAACTGGATGATCTGAAGGTCCTTTCCAACCCAAACTGTTCTGTGATTCTATGTACATGGTCACATGCTTTAGCATTGCTTGTGGGGATTTATTTACAGCAATTCAGCACCACCTGCTGGCACGACTTTGTTTGAAGGTAGAGGTGGGGGGGTTGGTTTCCCATCAGTATGGTTTAACTGTCCTTTGAATTGTCCGAAATTTGTCTACATTAAATTCGACCCACTGCAAGGGGTTTGGACCCTTTGTATAAAATATGGAGGAGGGATCGCACCTCAGAATTCAAGCATTTAAATCTACAAATGAAATCATGTAGTTGAACAGATCTCCTGCCACCATACAAAAAGGCAGTATTTTAGCTAGCAGCTCCACTGATTTCTCTATTTGGTGTATACAGCACATAAGACATGCATCAGCTTTAAAAGCTGACTACCAGGCATTCCTGAGAGGCTCTCAAACCCTACAGTTCTCTCTCTTCTTCTCAACATTCCCCCAAACCCTGCCTAGTTCTTATTTTTCTTGGCATGCAGGTTATTTCTCTGTCTCACCATCCTCAAGTCAAAACACAGGCTGACATTCCCGCAATTACTCCCTTCAGTTTGTGGCTTTAGTTGGCTAATTCCTTTGTTACTTCCACAGCATTAGAGTTTAAGAGGCTTTTGCCAGCCAGTGACAGGTATTCACTGGACCACGCTTTTCTTGCTTTAAATATCAATGATGACAAAGACTTCTGGCTTTTCATCTTCACAGATCTGCATGGCCGAGTAAGTTATGGCTTTGACCTCTGTGCCCTAGAGAAAGAAAACACAAAAGCATGGATATTCTAAATCCCATGTAGCAGTTCATATCAATACTCAGTATTTATCACCTTCTATAAATGCTATCCAGTTTAATAGCTTTTCCTTCCCAAAAAGCTGTAGCTGTATTTGCTCTGATGAGCAAGAAAGTTGACACACTAATGCAAGGGCTTGGCCAGGCCAAATAGTGAATAAGTAACTCTTCCCTTACTTTATTGCCTCTTGAATAGTACAAATTCCTCTTCCTACCTCTGACAGAACATGAATATTTCCCGTGCCAATACTTTAGTGCCTTGCTACCACTCAGAAGTGAGTAGATCTCTGGAGAACTTGGAGGTCTGCTTTAAAAGACACCACGCCTCCCCATCCCACCCCTAAAATGTCAAAGATGTACAGATGAACCTGCATACCTGAGGGTGTTTGGGTAAAGAGAACTCTTCTCCCCACCTTTAAAGGCAAAAAGAAGAGAGGTGGTTGGAATTTGGGTAATAGTTACCAAATGTTGTAATTAGTTTCATTGATGAGCATCGAACAGCGAGATTTTCATTTCAAGCCTCAAAGGAAGAAAAGAAGCCCACAGTCCACTTTTCAGAAATCATCAGTGAACTCCTGCACATCACAGCACTGCAGAGTGTTAGTCTGAAGGCCATGTGCGTGTTTTCAGTAACCATATTCATTACTCAAGTCATCATTTAAGCTCACCCAATTGATCTTATTTTGAATTGCATTCGGTCAATGTAAAGCACTTTCACCTCCTGCAGAGAAAGCAAGAGGAGAAACATGTCAGTATTACCTTCAACCTTCAGGCCCAAATTCTCAGTAAATCCCATTTACAAGGGTTATATTCCATTGTTTAGATGGAATCTAAAGCAGCCTCAAAGAGATACATTGCTACTTGGAACACGAAGGCAGCAGAGCCATGTAACAGCAGCTCTGTAATAGCAAATTGGTGTTTGTGGTAATGATGCTTAACAATTTGCTTCTCAAGTCTTTCTGCCCAGGTGTTTTCAATTCTCTGTGTGTTGTGCTGAAGTGGTCTGTTGTGTCCCTTTTTCTCATAAAGCAATACTGAATTCAGAGCTGGTATTATCAGAGAATAGCCTCAATCTACAGATGGAAAAAGATCAGAACACTTACCCTGGGTATAAAAAACTCATTAGCGCTGAATTTATACAGCCACTCATCCAAGAAGTGGAAAAGAAGAGACAACATGTCATGGCCTGTGGGGTTGAAGCAGAGAGGACTGTCATTTGACTCCTAGCAAGAATGCCCAAGTGTTTTTAAGACTACACATCAGGTGTCCTGCTTCTGCTCTATTAGAAGATTCAGCTTAGTGATGCTTAAGCAGATTCTAATTAACTGCAACAACACCACATGTAAAACTCTGGTACCTTTCTCTCCCCATGTCCATAGAGTTCCAACGAAGCATTTACCTTCTGCCTCCACCTCCACTGTATCCACAGGTTCCACGGTCTCTGTATCAGTCATGTAGCCAAACATGGCCATAACACACTGCTCGAAGGCCTCTTCCAAAGTGTCTCCCCAGGCATGTAGCCTAAAAAGACATTGAATAATTTACCAGACTGTAACAAGAAAAGAAATCCCAAAGTAATGTGGAGGTGAGCTATCAGAACATGGGAATTAATGCAGAGCAAGGGGATGGACAAGAACACTTGCTTTGCTATACCTATGCATTTGGGCAGATTACAGACAGTTTCTGAGAAGAGTTTATTGGGAAAATATGGAAAATAAATGTTATCAGACCTCAAGAAAGTTCTTTTTTGATATGGTTTATTATGCCTGTAAAAGTGAACTACTCAGAAGAAATTTGCTTTAAAAGAAAGATACTAAAAGGAGATTTCAAAAGACATTTCCAAGCAACACAGGCTTAATAGGAATATTACAATTCCTTAACCATAGGAATATTCCACTAGAGAGGAAACCAAACTTGATTCAGTGCTCCCAAAAGCAAAACCAAAATTGACCATTGGAAACCCCAGAGTGTATAATTTCATACTTCCATAAAGTGTACATCTGCAACCAGACTCCCACAGTTACTCCAGACTTACAGCAGTGGAAATAATCCAATTGTTCTGTTGAGAAATCTCATACTTACTGCACATCTGCTGTGTGATCCAGGTCTGAGGGGGAAAGAAAAGGAGAAGGCATGAGATCACCAAACATACTTAAAAATGAGGATTAAAACCCCCCAGAAAATCAGATCCTATTGTTAGAACTTTTTACATTCACTTTCAGATGTGAAATGGGGATTACCTATTTTGAAGTAGATGAGAAAAAGCACAGGTAGAATCTTGGATTATTTCTGCCAAGCAGAAAATCAGTCTTTAATGTAATGATGCCAGTGCCCTTTGTGTACAGCACTGTGTGTAAAAGATGGCTCTTTTAACACAACAGGCTTCTACATGTTAACTGCAAGAAAAGGGAACTTTAACCAGGAGTAAAGAGGCTTTGCTGAAGTCTGCAGGTCTGGAAGTTATTCATGCAGAGGATGAGATTTGCAAATACTTCCAGCTCAGTGAAGAAATTTAACTGTCCACACCCAAAAAACACCCATTATGCAAAAAGGAGACTTTAAAAACATACAAAATAGAAGGCAATCCTCACTAAAAAGGTGGGATTAACATCCCAAGCGTGTATCAAGTTTTACATGAACATCATTTATATTCATTCAGAGGAATTAAAGAAATACAAAATTCCCCCCCTGTTGACAGAAACAGAGCTAACTTGGCATGTAAAATTCACACCACACCATGATCACCGACTGAAAGGCTCTTCTGATGCTGGTTAGATCCTTCACACGCTATTAATGGATTCTCAACAACGGTCTCTAAAGCAAACAAATTCCAGGGGATATAAAAGAAGAATAAAACCTCTTCCAGTTATGGAAGCGGCGTGACTATTGTAGTACGTCACTGTATTTCTGCACTGCTATCAGAGATCTGAACGCATCCTAAAAATACATATTCTAACAGCAACAGACACTGTCCCTCCAGACACCCACCACTGAAATAGAAAGCACTCAGACACTGAATGGGCTCCTGCCTTAAGCCAGCCCTTGGGCTACCACCCACTGGCTTGACATGTTCTTAGAAGACATTCCAGGGGTGGGGAAAGGGAGAGATAATGATCTTGAAGTAATGCATGTAGGAGGGAAAACACCCCAAAGAACACCAACATGCTCCTGAATGACTCTTCCTAGATGAGATGAGAGAAATGTCCTCCCTTGCTAAGAACAGCTTGAAAGGGGAAAGTTTTCAAGGTGAGACTTAACTCATTTATTTTTAACACGCTTTCTTTAGCACCCATAACAAGAAAGGCTTTTATTTGTGATAAACAGTAGATCTCTCACTTCTATTAATTCAGCTCCAGATGCATCCCGCAGTCTAAACACACACAACACTGGCATATTAAGAAACCCCGCATGTGCCTATAAAGCAGACCCTGCTGTTCTCCTTCCTCTCCCTCCCTCTCACCATCACACTCACATGGACACTCACATTCATACTTCTTGTTGAGTGGTGGGTATTTGGCTTTGATCGCCTTCTGCTCCTCGGTCAGGTTGTAGTCCCTCTCATCAGCTGCCATAGCTGCGGGGCTGGAGTCAGGCTCCTCACTTCCTGGTGCAAGGAAACATGGCCCCAGCCGCCAGCGCTCCACTCCTGCCTCGCTTCCTGGTGATGCTGCTGCAGAGAAGGGAGAACACCGCTCAGTTTGGTTCTTCACTTGGTAGCAGATCGGTAACCAAGAATAACCAAGATCCTAATGCATGGTGTTCGGTTGCCTGCTCTCAAACCTGTCACTGGGGGAAGCTCAGATTCAGCTCTGTACCATTTATTAGTTAAGTTCAGACGCAGTCCCTCCAGACACCACATTTCTTCCTCCTGGCTCTGTACAACACGAAGCATTTCACTCACCCTCAAGAAAAGTAATAATGAAAAACATAACTAAACATCATTTTTAGTTAGGGAAACAGCAAAATTCTACCTTTCTCTTAGGACAAGGGTTGTATTTAACATTTCAAACCTAGAAGCACCTGCATGGCAAATACAAGCGCTGGAGTTTTCTTGTGCTCCTTTCCTTGCAGAACACACTTGTGGTTTTCACTAAAAACCCAACCATAATGAACTTCATCGAAGTCTCATTTTCAGGCCAGATCTTGGTTGCTGTTCCATGCAAGCTTTCACCTGTAAACCTAACAGATACAAACTGGAGAACCTGATTAACTTGAGGCTCGCTAATTCTCCTCTAATTTCCAGATATAATAACTACTCCATTTCTTTTTGGTGTACTCTTAAGCTTTACCCACAGCTGAGCTCAGGACTTCCCCAAACAATGCAAATGACAGATTTACAGATAACACATAGCATCAAGCCTGCTTTTAATCAGGAGTGCTTCTTATTGTGAGGCTCAGAAATGCCTACGGAGGATTTCCAGTTTCTATTTTCACACCTCACAAAGAGAAGCCTGAAATGGAGACGCCAGTGCTTCTCTTGGGGAATAAACCCACGTTTAGCAGTAATAAGGGCATTTTGATTTTAAACCTATTAAGTCTTGCCTGTGGACAATCAGATCCACGACCGACCACCCCAGGTTACCCGGTCAGAACCGGCCACATCCCAAGGAGCTCAGTACTCCACTGAAGCAGCGACACAAGAGGAAGCGATCAGTGATTACACACAATTAATAACCCCAAAGCAGGTTGAGGATACTCCGAAAGCGCCTGAGCAGCCCTGTGGAGAGGGAGGGCCAGGCCTCGGCCCCCACACGCACCGACCTGGTCCGGTCCGGTTGGGTCCCAACACGGTCTGTCCACGGCTGTGGTGACCGGAGGAAGCCGCTGCCGCAGCCAGGGCTCTTTATGGCTCCGTGACGCGGTTCCCTCCCCAGGCACCGTCTCTCAGCGCCGGACGCTGCCCCTTTAAGAACGAGCGAGGCCCCTCCGAAAAATGGCGGCTCCCAGGGGAGCCTCCGCAGCACCCGGCCGCCCTCCCACGTGACCGGCGGGCGCGCTCTCTTCCCCGTGTCCCCGCCCCTTGCCCCTCGTCGATTGGCTGTTGCAGCCCGGCGGCGGGCGGTGATTGGCCGGCGTTGGCGCGCGAAGGGGTGCGCGGCGCCGGAGCGGCACGCAGCAGGGGCAGGAAACAATAGAGCCGCGACCGGAGGGTCCGAGCCCGGAGCGGAGCCGTCGCCGCCCGCTGAGCCCAGCGCAGCCCAGCCCGGCACCGTCTGCCCCGTGCCCCGCCGCCTCCCCGCTGCCCCCGCCCCGCCATGGCGGACAAGGAAGGTAGGACTCACGGCACGGTGTAGGCCTCGCGGCGCGGCCTGCTCCGTGAGGCGCGGCGGGGGTCTCCCTTCCCCGTCCCCACAATGGCCGCCGGGTTGAGGGGAGCGGGGCCGGCGCACATCGGTCTCCACCGGGCCTCGCCGGCATGGCTGGGCCGCGCGGGGGAGGCCTGTGAGAGGGCCCTGCCCGAAGCAGGGTTTCTCCGCCCGCCCTCTTTCCTCCGCCTTCCGATGCGTTCGTATCGCACCGGGGGCAGTTTGTGTTCTCCGAGCCCGGTCTGAGCGGGGAGGGCCGTCGGTGTAGGGCAGACAAAGGGGGGGGGGGTCACTGGGTGGGAGGCCGCTGCGCGCCCGCTCCTTTGGCTGGTGGCAGATGGTGAGAGAAATAGGGCGGCAGAAGGAGCTTTGGGAGCTGGTGGCTGCACCTGAACCGGTCGGTTCCCTGCCCTCCTGCATTTACACATCGCAAATCCGGTTTCTGCCTCCTCCTGTGCACCGAGGTTCAGGATTTTATTAGGCTGAGCTGATGAAATTCGGCATCGTTAATGTCAGTTCCCAGCCTCACAGCCAGAAACGAGGACTGGCATGTGCAACAGGGGGGTTTGAATCATCTGTGAGTATATATAGTGGAGAGTAATAGTGGAATACAACGCTCCAGTAGGGTAGAAAACACAAAACCAGGGTGTGATGTAGTTGGCTCTCTAATCAATTGCCTGCTCACAGATAATGTGCATAAAGGCTATCTGAGACATTATTCTTTTACTAAACCTTTAGCAGCCTTTGATGATGCGGTGGAAGAACGTGTGATCAATGAGGAGTATAAAATATGGAAAAAGAATACCCCTTTCTTGTATGATTTGGTAATGACCCATGCTCTGGAGTGGCCCAGCTTGACTGCGCAGTGGCTGCCTGATGTAACCAGGTAAACTCGGCCTTTTCCTCCTTTTTAAAGCAGAATCGGTAGTAAATCTAGGTTCATTTCTTGTTAAAGTAAGGCTGCTCTTTTCTGCCTCGGTCACTTTTTGTGTCCTTGCCTTGCCAACAAGTTGAGGACTGAACAATAGAAAGAGATTTAGGGAAATGTTTTCTGTGTTACACGTGTTGGATTTCTGTGGTTTTCTTCTTCCAGCTTCACCCTTTAATAAGCAAAAACTTCCTAAAACCCAGAACTAGGTCAAATTTCTGTATAGCCACCATTTTGACCTGAGCTTCCATAATAATGTTCTCCTTGCAGCAAGCATTCTGCCCCCTCAGAGTTGTGCTCAGAAGGAGCTGCTAAGGTCTCAGGGGAAGGAATGCTGCTATATCAGTGTTGTGCTGTAGGAATTTTAGGTTAAGATCTTGAATTCCAGTAAGTGGTTCCAGTATCTGAAGGGGAGCTGTAGGGATGCTGGGGATGGACTCTTCATTAGGGACTGTAGTGATAGGACAAGGGGTAATGGGTTAAAACTGAAACAGGGGAAGTTTAGATTGGATATAAGGAGGAAGTTCTTTACTGTAAGGGTGCTGAGGCACTGGAATGGGTTGCCCAGGGAAGCTGTGAATGCTCCTTCCCTGACGGTGTTCAAGGCCAGGTTAGACAGAGCCTTGGGTGAGATGGTTTAGTGTGAGGTGTCCCTGCCCATGGCAGGGGGGGTGAACTGGATGATCTTAAGGTCCTTTCCAACCCAAACTATTCTCTGATTCTGTGATTTTCTCTGGAAGAAGTGACTTTGAAGCAGAATAGTGCTGCCTTTAAAGACTGTTATTAGTCAAACCCTGTTGTAATCACCTCAGTGTTTATATAACCCCCTTTTGCTCTTCATGTAAATCTTCCTTTGCAGACCTGAAGGCAAAGATTTCAGCATTCACCGACTGGTCCTTGGGACCCACACTTCAGATGAGCAAAATCACCTGGTGATAGCCAGTGTGCAGCTGCCTAACGATGATGCACAGTTTGATGCTTCACACTATGATAGTGAGAAAGGAGGTAAAGGACCCAAGATTTGAGTGTATTTGTCTTTTCTTAAAGTTCAGGCAGCCAGATTCAGAGTTTACTTCTAAGCTAACCCATTTATTTCTAAGTGGTACCTGACTTACAGTCAAAAAACATAGTATTTGTCCAATATATAATGTCTTAATAATGATGAAGAAAGGAGGTGGCAAGCTTATTGCAGAAGTGTGCATGTGGGGGGAAAGCTCACCCCTCCCTGTTTCTCACCACCAATTGGCACTGAATTTCATGGAGTGCTGCTGCTTGGTATTTTTGTTACCACTTTTGCATTACAGACACTCTTCAAGTGAGAAAGTCGCTCCTGTAAAAGAATATTTTCTTTCAGAGGAGTATAGCATTTCACATGTTCTGCTCTTGTCTGGATTCTGCTGCCTGCTGGCTGTGCCAGCCTCTCTTGGATAAAAGGTTGCTGTGTTTTGTTTGGTGTGGCAGACTTGAATTTGATGCTTTCTGTGGGCTTAGTTGGCTGTCAGCATCACTGCAGGTTCACCATCCCTCATGTTTACTTGGTTGAATCAGTCTTTCTACTTGATAAAAGTCATTAATGATCCAGTGTTTGCTCTTTTTGCTGGAAGTCTGGATTATTTCGGTTAATATTGCCAGGGTTTTGCTGTGCAGTTCTGTGGGATACTGAATTACTTAGAAAGATAAGGCAGCTTTAGCAAACCCTGTTCCAGTCCCATTTCTTACAATGTGGTGCAACAATTTGTTTTTAACAGAACTTTGTCTATTTTGAAATGCTGATTTGTGTTATATTTGAAGGGGAATTAACAGAACATCTGTCTCAAATTTACAGCACATCTTCATTACAGATTAGACTTTTGGACAGAAGACGTTTGGGGCTTGTGGTGTTAAAGTTGAAAGAGTAGAATATTTTCAGGGGAAAAAAGGACTTAGTAAAAGTCCTGATATTTTGATGTTACAAACAGAGATGTTTAAAACAACATCCAATTGAAAACAGGATTCTGCCTGTTAGAGCTATTTGTTCAAAATAGGTGCTTGGTAGTACCAGTGGTTGAGTCGTGGATGTTTGTCTTGGTCCGAAAGTGGCTTCTTATTTACAACTCCTGAATTCTTCTTTCCAGAGTTTGGGGGCTTTGGCTCAGTCAGTGGGAAGATCGAAATTGAAATCAAGATAAATCACGAGGGAGAAGTGAACAGAGCACGTTACATGCCACAGAACCCATGCATCATCGCCACGAAGACTCCATCCAGTGATGTCCTTGTCTTTGATTACACCAAGCACCCTTCTAAACCAGGTGCCTGCTTCTTTGTTATGCCTGTGCTTCAGAGATCAGCCATCCCTTTTTAAGCACGGTTGATGTAGTGAAAAAGAGGTTCTTTGACTCCTCTGTAGATACTGTAGCTCTAATTTAGACTGGACTGACTGCTTCTGGACCACCCAGCCGCACACACACACACACACACAAAGGCAGCTTGGAATAGTCTGCAGTGTGCTTTTATTAAGCTAAGAAGACAAACTGAGTTGTCTCAGTGTATTCTGTATTTATGAGGTGATTTTTCAGCCAGAGAAAATGCTCAAAAGGTAGAGAGAGAGGGATCCTGTTGAAAATATTAAAGCAAAGATTAGTAAAGCACAATGACACTCAATGGTTGGTATTCCAGGATGTGCTGGGAATTATACTAGGCACTAGAGTTTTTACACTGCCTCTTTACAGACCCTTCTGGAGAGTGTAACCCTGATCTGCGTCTTCGTGGACACCAGAAGGAAGGTTATGGGCTGTCATGGAACCCAAACCTGAGCGGGCATTTGCTTAGTGCTTCTGATGATCATGTGAGTACTTCAGATAGAGCTGGGGTACAACCTGCACCTAGTGTCCCTTGGCAAAGGTCAAAACCGGTGCATTTTTTGAGGGGGAGGAGGTGAGGAGAGTGTCTCCTTCAAAGATAAATTGTTTTAACTGGTTTTTGTATGTTTTAAAGACCATTTGCTTGTGGGATATTAGTGCTGTTCCAAAGGAAGGCAAAGTGGTGGATGCAAAGACCATCTTCACAGGGCATACAGCAGTAGTGGAAGATGTATCTTGGCATCTGCTCCATGAATCTCTTTTTGGATCTGTTGCTGATGATCAGAAGCTCATGATGTAAGTGGGGTAATGTCTTCAGAAACTGAGTCCTTCTGTCCCTCTTGCTTTCCTACCTGCTCCTCAGTAAAATGGGATATAAATCTTTGTTTCAGTTGCATGTTTTTTTCTCTTACAGTTGGGATACTCGGTCAAACAACACTTCCAAACCTAGTCATTCAGTGGATGCTCACACAGCTGAAGTCAACTGCCTCTCTTTCAATCCCTACAGTGAGTTTATCCTGGCCACAGGATCAGCTGATAAGGTACATCTACCTTGAACTTGGAACATGGTTAGCTTCTGGTGGCTGAGTGGTTACTTCAATGAAAAATGGCTTTCTTCTTTTTCCCTAGACTGTTGCCTTATGGGACTTGAGGAACTTGAAACTGAAACTGCACTCCTTTGAATCACACAAAGATGAAATATTTCAGGTATAGCAACATGTCTTTGTCTTTTATGCACATAGTTCTACTTAGCTGTCTGCAAAAATGAAAGCTATGTTTTTCCACTCCATGTTTTTATTAAATGCACTTAAACCCTCTTACATTCTTCTTATCTGCTTATAATTTTGTGGCTTCTTGTGGAGCTGGATAGTGACTTCTTAGGGGGGGAGAGCTCCAGTACAGGTAAGAGTGCCCAGCAGGCCAGGGGCAGAACATAACAAGGAGCTGGTGTAGAGCTTTAACCACCCAGCAGGGTGAAATGCTAGCAGCACTGAGTAGATGTGAATTATTCATGGCAGCAGACTGAAGCAGGGAGGCACAATGAAATGGCTGCAGTGTTTTCAGCTGCTCAGCTTGGTCCTGCTGGAAGGCTTTAGCCAGACCCATTCAAGGGGATCACTGGAACATTCTGTGACAAAGAACAATTGCTAATTTTGCTGGTGTAAATATAGAATGTTAGCATCATGGGCAGCACGTGCAGAGCAGATACAGTATTTCCATCTCATGCCTTACTCAGAAGAGAAATATGCAGAGATTTTTTTGTGAAAGGATTACTAGTTAATCCTAGTAGTTACCCCTAAATAAAATTACACATGGAATCCTGAAATGTGGGGTTAGCGTGCGGAATGAGGTGTTCTGTTCTAATCCTGTGATCCTATTAAGTGCTGTGTTTTGGAGAGATTTAGCTCTAGCAGAAGGACCAAATGTGAGGTTTTAGGCAGTTCAGCTTAATAACTGATTTCTTTTCATGTGTAAACTGTACCTTCTACTTAAGGAATCTGTAGTTTATATTTGTGCAGTCCTCACTAAGGTAAGGGACAGCTCCTGCCCTTGAGAGTTGTTTGCACTTTGTAACACGTGGCCTGAGTTAGAGGAAAGGTTAATGTGGTACTTTTTTGATGCTCAGATGCCTTGTTGGTATATGAATGTTCACAAACCTGTGTTAGAGTGCTATTACTGGACATATTATCAATGTGAATTCTCACAGATCATTCATGGTACAAAATACAGTGGTGTTTGTTGTGAATGTCTGTCATGTTACTGCTAACTTCCTTTCTAAATTCATCCTTGGCTGTAGGTTCAGTGGTCTCCCCATAATGAAACTATTCTGGCCTCCAGTGGCACTGACCGCAGGCTAAACGTCTGGGACTTGAGGTAAATCCCAAATTGCTCACGTTGTCCTGACAAGGTGATATTAGGAATTGCATCACACTGCAAAAGCTGAGCAACCAACCCCTCACCTTCCCTTTTCCTCTCTTTTTAAACAGTAAAATTGGAGAAGAGCAATCCCCTGAAGATGCTGAGGATGGTCCCCCAGAGCTGTTGGCAAGTCTTTTGAATCTCACTATCTTGATCTGTTACTCACCTTTGCAATGGAGATTTGAAAACATTCCCTATTTTTTTTTCTATCCCCAATGCTAGTTTATCCATGGTGGTCACACTGCAAAGATCTCGGACTTCTCCTGGAATCCCAATGAGCCCTGGGTAATTTGTTCTGTATCAGAAGATAATATCATGCAAGTCTGGCAGATGGTAAGTTGTTTGGGAAGTGGCAGGTGAGAGATGCTGTTTTGCTGCCTGGATTTTGGCATCCCTGGTTTTATTTACAGCTCTTGGAATTACTCAGTAGCACTGCATGAATCTCAAAGGGACAGTGAAATCCACTTTAGGTTCAGCTGCAACAATGGTTTAGAGACACTTAGAAGTTGGGGGGGTTTATCTATAATTGGGTTCACAGGGGCTTTGTTCATGCAGTTCTTGTGGAAGATGCTGCTGCTAAGTGGAAGACCTCATAAATGTACAGGAAATAGTCTGTTCGTTGAAGTAAATCTTGCAGTGATTTAACAAGGCAGATTCCCACAAGCTACAGTAACTTACAGGGGGCTTAGGAAATGTTTTGGAGATGTGGCTGTTCTGAAAAGGATCGTTTGTTTTACTTCTTTAATGTAAATGGCCTTGAGGGACCAGGGATGGGTGATACCTGCATGTGAAAAGCTGCCGGGTTTTGAACAGTTCTAGCAGATGGAATCCTATTTGCTGCAGTGGGAAATGCTTCTCCAGCTCCTCCATCTCTTGTCTTGCAGGCAGAGAACATCTATAATGATGAAGACCCTGAAGGAAGCGTGGATCCAGAAGGTCAAGGATCCTAGATGACAACCTTTTTCCTCTTTCTAGTCTTCTTCTTTCTCTTCCCTCTCAACCCTGATATTGACTTAACACTGGTTTTGAGACACACGTAGACTTTGTGTTCAGCCATCCTTCTGTAGATACCATCAGCAGGCTTTTTAACCCAGACAGTGAGTACCCCATGAGGGCTTAGCCCAGTGCAGCAGCCACCATGCTGCAGCTCCTCAGCCAGATTCCTCTTGCACATAGGGCTGGCTGTCCCATTTTCACTGCCTTCATCACACAGAGCAGAGTTGGTTTTTGTTGGTTTTTCTTCTGTCTTTAGCTTGCTATAGCTGCAGACTTTTGTCTCATTTGAAAGGTTAATTCAGTAGAGCTACCAGAGTGTGCTTGAGCCAATGGAGATGATACAAGAGTTAATCCACTGGCAGGTCAGAGTGTGGAAGGTGTCATCCTCTTCAGTACAACTCTGAAGACTTGCAGTTCCTTTAATCTGTACCTTGTGGATTTTTCTGCCTCTGCAGATACAGGCTTGCAGATTCTGACTTGAACTGAAGTTAAATTTCTTCCTACTGGTCTCTACTGATAATTCTGGGTTTTTCATTCCTTCCTTCCTTTCCCTTTTCTCCCATCTGCTGGGTGACAGCGGTTTGCATTCCTTAGCTATTCCTGCAGAGCATCATTCACCTTCCATGTATTTTGCTCTATTGTGTGTTTCTTGAGCTGTGTTTTCACGTATATTTCTTTCCTTTCTGTGAAATGGTTTTTTAAACTTGGGGCCCCCAGGTTGTAAAGGTGTCTGTTTTTACCAGCTGATGTACCACAGATGGCATGCCCGGTAACCTCCAACACCATTGGTAGCTGGTATGTGTAAAGCACATCAAACATGGATGAGCTACTTGTTTTAGGAGTTAGTCCTTGACCACTAGTTTCTGCACATCTTCACTAGGGTGTCCTGTTCCACCAGCAGCCTGTTACTCTCCATGCTCCTCATGACTAACTGCGTGTAAGTGCTTCAGATGGAATAAATTTTTTCTACGTAAGTGCTGTGGAGCTTTGGGCTGATGTTTTTGTTGTGCTCATGTTTTCCTTCTGCATTAAACTCCCTTTGTGGGGAGGAAAATGCTCCTCTTCAGAAAGCAGAGTGTGAGCTCTGCCCCTGTGTGTGTGTCCTGTGGGACAGACATCCCTGCGTTTGTACCATGTGGATGCTTCTGCCCCTCTTGTTTCCACTGCTTTCTGTGCGAAATGAGAACTTAATATCCACAAGTTGCCACTGTACTGAGGGTGTTGCTTCTACCTGGAGCGTGCTGCTGTCTGGATTTTGGGTCTGCCTTTAGCCCTTGCCGCAGAAGGATGGGGTTTTGTTAGTCTGCAGTGTGATTAGTTTGATAAAAGGATCCTGGTTTGACACAGCCTGTTTTCTCATTGAGACACACCTTTGACAATTAAAGTATCCTTAAACTCTGACCTTTATTTTCAGTGTGAGACTTTATATAAAGTGGGAACCTATTGTCCACAAACTAGTTTCTGTGGCCCACGGTGGAGCATGTCCCAGTACAGCAGACACCTTTGAAACACAAAAGAAAACCCTGCTAAAAGCATCAAGCTTCCCTTGCCTGTAAACTTTAAAACTCCACTGTGTAACACTGGCTCCCAGAACACTGCTTCCTGGGCAGGCTCATACACTCCACCCCTGCACCAGGACGTGTTTCTCTAAACACAGCACAACGTACATCTGTTAGTCTTCATCTGTGTCCATGGTTCAGTGCAAGTATTTGCTCAGCAGTTTTACTACTCGATCACCAGCAGCACCTTGAGGAATACACGCAAGTGCTTGTCCAGTATTCCTGACTTCAGGCAGCTGCTGTGCCTCGGGTAGGGTAAGCAGCGAGAGGAGACGTCCCCTGCAGATCCCTCTGTCCCTTACTCCTGCTACAGAGAGGGAAAAATCCATCATTCCTGGCAGTCCTGGTCTGTTTTGTCTTCTGATTTGCAAAGGTGGCCGTAGATTTCTAAGCAGCTCCTGTAGGGGTAGAAAGTCAGTTCAGGGACCTGAATGTTCATGGGAATTACCCATGGAGAAAACAGGGACAGGGGACAGATGCTATTTCGGAAAACCATTATTTCTCTTCCCAGTATGAAATAACTAACTGGGGAACACTTAAACTGGCTCAGTAACATGGTCTGGTGAGTGTCTGGGTCCAACCTGGCCCTTCCAGAGCCCTTGGCAAACACCCGAACTGTAACAGGGAATGTAATTTTTAATGGGATCCATGGGAAGAGGCTGCTTGGAGCTGTGAGGTCCCTCCTGGTGCAAATATGACACTGAGGTGTCCTGATACATGAGGAGCCTCCAGGGGTAGCAATTTGTGTGGTAAGAGACTGAGCTGCTGCATCTGGGCTCAAGTGCTGGGCTGGGCTTTAGATCTGGGGTTTGGAAAGACCCCAAGCAGCACAGACAGGGTTGTTTCCCCCCTTTCCCTTTTCCCCTTTCCTTGTGGTGGGATCTGGGCTGAATTGTTAACACAGTCCCTCTCCTTAATCCATCTTGGAATGGCTGGTGCCATGCCAGGCTGACATGGAGATCTCTTCCCCTGTCCTTGTCACACTGAAGTCTTACCTAGATAAGACCAATCTTACTGGTGATAGGGAATGGGCAGTGCTTGCGTGAGGAGGTTTGGGTGGAGAAGGGGAATAGAGGATGCTGAAGTGAGAGTGAAGCTGCAGAGGATGAAGCGTGTACAGGTGGGACTGCAGTAACACACAGCAAAGTCTGGTGAGTGAAACAGTCCCCAAACTTAGGGCCATTTTCTTCATCCTATGTGTTGAAGACCTGATGAAAGCAGAGGACAGTTCTCTCTCAAGGGAAAGCATCCACAAGAGCTTCCCAAACCTAAACCTCAGCTCCTGCCTGCATATTCCAAAGGAAACCAGCTTCTGGGAAGGCAACCTCCACTGCCCCTGTGCCCAGGAACTTCCAGCAACTCCCTATTTGCTGTTGGGCAGAGGATCTGCAGTTCCCATCGGGCTGCCCCACCAGCCCCTTTGCTCACACATGCCCAGGAACCAGGCCAAGAGCTGATGGTGGCTGATAGCTCTGTGACCACCAGCAGCCTCTTCACCACCATCCTCCTCCTCCTCCCAGCCCCTCTGCACCACTGGGACAAGGCACAAACGCACTTATAGATGGAGAGCTCCCGGTGGAGGCTGGTCCTCAGTTCCTCCAGCTCCTGGTTCTTGCGCTGCTGGAGCTGGACCCCATTCTTCAGCTCCTTCAACCTGTCCTCCAGCTCCTCGACCTGTTCCTGGGGAGGAAGAGCACGAGAGTGGATTAGCTGGGAGAGGAAGGCTGTCCATGCCTGCATTCCCATTGAGGGACCTGCCTGCCCATGGTTTAAAAACCTCTGCAAAAGCGCCTTGGTTTGTTACAAAGGTAAAAGCTTGGGCTGGGCTGGGATGTGCTGGGTCCTTCAGCTTCTCTTGGCTGGTTGGTTTTGTCCCCTCAACTGCTCTGGGTGTGTTTGGAGAAGCTGCCAGAACCTAAGGGTCAGGGGAAGACAAACAAGGAATGTGGGAACATGGAAGAGTGGAGCCACATCAGGAATGCCCCACTGTCCTCCAAGGGAGAGTGAGCCCTGAAACCCAAGGCAAGCACCGTGATGGGTGAGCTGGTCCCCAGCCCAGCAAGGAGGAGGTGCCATGGGGAGGGAATGTTGGCTTCCAGAAGCTGCTCAGAGCCAGGCTGGGAAGGAGGCAGCGGATCCAAGCTGAGAACAGGGAGTGTTGAAAAGTGGGAGATTAATTTTGAAGCCTCTTTGCCAAATGTGCTCTTAGAGATATTGAATTGCCTCATCCCTCAGGACAAGGTGCAGAGGGGGGGAAGGCCGGGTGCAGCCAGAAATAACCCTCCTGGGAAGCAGCCCGGTCCCTGGGCTGCAGGCACGGGAGGTGGGACCCTTCCTGGTGGTGGGAAGGGCAGGATCTGCCTTTTGGAACAAAAGGGGCTTTCACTTCAAGCTGACTTCCCTGGGAGCCTGAGCTCAGCCCTGTGCTATAGCACACGTGGGAAGTGTGGGGTGCCTGTGCTCAGCTCTGGGAAGGAGCCCCCCATCCTTCTGCCGCATCCCTGCTCACTGGGGCCATTTCCAAGGGGCAGCTCAAACCCAAGCATCGGGAGAATCCTTTTTCCTGGCAGCTCATCGGGTGAAGCCTCAGCACTTTCCCTCTTGGCAGGGGATGCTTTTGACCTCAACCAACAGGAGATACCCCATCTCCTTACCCTCCCCATCCACACCTTGGAGCAACCCCTTCATCACTGGCTGCAAAGAACACCCCCTCCTCTCCGACCCAGATGCGAGGGATGCTCAGCCCCGTACCCGGTACTGCCCGACCTCTTCATCCCGCTTCTGCTTGGCAAGGACGATCTGCTCCTCCAGGCTCCTGTTCTGCAGCCGCAGCTGGCTCACCTCCCCCTGCAAGGGCCGCAGGGCTTCCTTCATCCCCTGCAGCTCCCCTTGCATCTCCTGCAGCGCCTTGGCCCCCGCCTCGCGCCTCTCCAGCAGCCGCAGCAGTTGGGGCTCGTAGTGCTCCTCCAGACCCCGCCGGCTCTCGGCCACGAAGCTCTCGAACTCCATGGAGAGCCGGCGGCTCTCCTGCAGGTACAGGTTATCCTGGCGGCACGGGGGAGCCTCCAGCCGCTGCCTCAAAGCCTCCTTCTCCTTCTCGCAGGTCTCCTTGAGCTGGGAGAGCTCCCCGGAGAGCTGCCCTGCTTGGGTCTCCAGCTCGCCCCGGTAAGCGGCGTGCTGGGAGAGGTCGTGCCGCCGGCTCTCCAGCTGGTACTGGCAAGCCACGCACTCCTTGGTCACCTTGAAGAGCTTCTGCTTGATCTGACGGATCTCATCCTTCAGGTTGTCCCGCTCCAGCTCCACCTGGGCCAGCAGCCGGCACGCAGCCTGGATCTCCTCGTGGGCATGGCGGATCTCCTGCAGCGCCGGCTCCCGCAGCTGCCCCAGCTCTGCGATCAGGCTGTCCCTCTCCTGCTCCAGCTGCTCCACCGCTTCGATGCACTCCTGGAAGTAGTCCCCCAGCTCTTCCAGGGTCAGGCACTTCTGCTCCGTGCCCATTGCCCCCTCTGCGTCCATGTCCAGTGGGATCCCAGCCCCGTCTGTGTCCACATCAGTTGGGATTCCTGCCCTGTCTGTGTCCATGTACAGTGGGATCCCTACTCTACCTGGATCCACATCCAGAAGGATTCCTGCCCCATCCACGTCCAGCGGGATCCCTGCTTCATCCACATCCAGCAGGATCTCTGCTCCATCTGCATCTATATCCAGTGGGATCCCTGTCCCACCTGCATTCACGTCTAGCAGGATCCCCGTCTCATCCACATCCAGTGGGACCCCTGCTTTATCTGCATCCACGTCCAGCGGGATTCCTGCCGCATCCACGTCCAATGGGATCCTGGTCTCAGCTGCATCCTGCTCCAGCTGGGGCACGTTTGTCTCCAAGTCAGCATTCCCACCATCTGTTTGGAGGTCCTGGCAGGCATCGGGGCTGCTCCCGGGACGGGGCATCAGCCCCGGACCCACTGCAGAGTCCAATGGGCTGTGTGCAGGGTCCGGGTGCAGAGCGGCTCCTGCTGTGGGTGCTCCAGCTTCATCCAGCCGCGGCTCTGGAGGGGGCTTGGGCTCTGCCATCAGGTCCCTGCGAAGGAGAGGAGACGTGAACCAGAGCAATGACAGTAACAGGTCTCAGCCTTTCCTCTCCACCTGCTGAGATGCAGGTGCCCCTGTCACCCCCAGGCGATGTCAATGGGGCTGTGCTGTGCTTGCACCCTCAGTGATAGCTTGGACCCAAACTCGGCTTTGGGGTAGCTGAAAAGGAGGGAGAAAACCCTCTGAAAGCGACTGCATGGTGAAGGAGCGAGGGATGCCAACCTGCACCCCAAACCCAAGAGCTACTCCGGTGCCAATGGAACTGCCACCGTGCCACAGCCGGTCCGCCCCAGCAGCACCGGTGTGACTGGCGCGGGGCATTCCCGGTAAAACGTGCTGGGATAGCAGCGGGGTGGGATAACCTCACGGGAAGGGAATGTGCTGCTAAAGCGCAGGCGGGCTCCGAGATGGCTCCGATGGAGTCCAACACCACACACACAGCGCCTGGGCGAGCGGCTTCTGCAGCAGGAGCCCGGCTTGCTCCTCTTTGCAGAGTCATCGACCCCGACATTGTCCCCAGCCCCGGTACCTGCAGCTGCCACCACCACCACCAAATACCCACGTCTCCCATGCACCCGGGTGCTATTTGGGGCTGGATGTACAGGACGATCCTCAGGGACGAGCCGGGGCTTCTCCCGCTGCCTCCAGGAGCCGGTGGGCTCGGCGGGAGGATGCTCTCACCTCCCGGCCACGCTGCTGAGCTCATGTCTAGTCATTCCCTAAGGAATGAGCGCAGGCTGGCACTCGCAGCAACGGCTTTAAGGAAAGAACTGATTTTCACCGGTACTTTCTCTCCTAATAAGGGAGTTTTCAGCGGTGCTGACACATCCCAGCCCGGGCCCAAGGGCCGGAGAGGGGGCAGCGCCTGGGAAAGGTAGGGAAAGGCAGGGAAAGGCAGGGAAAGGCAGGGAAAGGCAGGGAAAGGCAGGGAAAGGCAGGGAAAGGCTCCGCTTCGGTTTCCCATACCCTGCCCCGCTGCCAGGGCTCATTTCTCAAAGTTCTCAGCCCTGCTTTGACGGGCAGGGTGGGAGCGCAGGGCACGCATCCTGCCTTCCCAGCGGGGTGCAGGCTCGGCCCCACACACCACCCCTCATCCCAGGGCTCCCCAGCACTCCTTGGTACCCCAAAGGAGCCGTTCCCCAACCTCCCTCCAGTCACTTCCGAGGGTCCAGGGATGGTTCCTGGGAGCTGAACCCCAGGTCCCCCCCGTGTCCCTGCACCGCAGGTCCCACCACCCCCCTCACCCGCACCCATGGGTGAACCCCAGCTCCGTCCCCACTCCCCGCTGCTCGCCCCGGGGGGGGGGCTCTTACCTTCCTCCCCTGGAGCCCGGCGCCGCCGGCTCTGCGGTGCACATGGGCTCAGCATGGGGCGGGGGGGGGCTATTAATAAACGGGGCTGGAAATCAGACTCCCGGAGCAGCCGCTTCTCCCGGCCACCGCCTGCAGCGCCAGGGGCTGCTTCCCTCCGCCCCTGGGAGGAGGAGGAGGAGGAGGAGGAGGAGGGCGGGGAAGGCCAAGCCGTCTGCATCCCCGGCAGAGGCAGCCGCAGGGGCTGGCTGCAGCCAGCCCGCATCCCTGGGGAGCATCCCCCCGTCCCGCTCCGGCTGGTCCCACCCGTGATTTGAAGCGGAGGTTTGCTTTGTGCAGCCTCAAAGTGTTGGGGGATCCCATCCTGCTGGGATAGGGCTGCGATGGGGTCCCCCTCTGGGGGGTTGTGCCTGTGACACGGGCAGCAGGAAGGGGAAACAGAGGAGGATGCAGCACATGGCCACCAAGTGCTACAGCCTCATCCTGACCAGGAGCAGGGTGCTCCAGGATGCTGTGCGCTATTAAAGCCTATTAATGTGTTAAACACCAGTGTCTCAGGGTTCTTTAGATGCCCCAAGTTGGCCCCACCAATAACCCAGTAGCAGCAGGGCGCAGCCTCTGCTTCCCCTTCCTCCCATAACCCATCCCTGCCTCCTCTTCCCCCTTTGCTTTGGGGATGGAGGAGGTGGCGTATCCTGTGGCCACACTCCTGAGCACCCGGCAGTGACAATGCCCTCATTGCTGCCCTCATTGCCACCTTCATTGCCCACCACAACTGCTTTCCATAGCGCCCATCCTCATCCTCCCCTCTCTGGCATCCCAAACCAGCCCTTTGGCAGTTATATTAGCCTAAATGTATCTAAACCCCATATTTTAGCCCTGTTGGCACTGGTGCCACAGCCTGGGCTCACAGCACAGCCACCCCCCATGGCACTGGAGCACACCAAGCCTACCTTGGCCAAGCCCTGGTCCTGGTGCTGCCAACCACGGCTCAGGAAGTCAGCGCTCTCCACTCAGGAAGTCACCAGTTTACGTGCCCCAACATCACCCAGCAACACACCCGGAGCTTACACCATCACCCAGTGCCACCAGCGCCACCAGCACCTTGCCCAGAGATCAGGTTGGAAACGCCTGCGCTTGCCCATCCTCCGGGAGCAGGGCTTTAAAAGGAAAAGGGACATTTGGGTGCGTTTTTTTTCCTCCTTCCCTTTTTTTTTCTTTTTGGATCCTGCTGCTTTTTCCAGCACGACACCTTCTTGTGCTCCCTTTTTTTTCCATGGAGCGCCTCTATTTGTGCCGAGACTTTTGACTCAATAGGAGAGGAATGCTGTTAATTCCCACAGCTTGTGGGTATAAACATCCATCCAGAGCTGGAAGCACCAAGGGGGGAAACCCGTGGGCCCATTGGGTGGGCTGGGGCCAAGAGACCCTCGGAGGGGCCGACGGCAGCGGCGCTGCCAAGCCCTGGCTGGGGTGTATGCGATGCGGTGCCAAGGGCAGGGTGGGGATTGAAGCACCTCAGCTGTTCTCAGTAAGAGGATACCCAGGCCCCGGCCCAACGCGGGGCTGTTTTGTGGCTATAACCAGGCAACGGCCGGCTCCGGTGTCACAACCGGACCCCGGAGCGCTCGGCAGAGCCTGGGCACGTGCTGGGTCCGGCCGGCACTGGGAGCCGCCGTCATCCGTGCTCCGGAGCGGACTTTGCTCCTGCAAACAGAGCTGGGAGGGAGTCACCAGCAGCAGGGCCGGGGGGGACAGAATGTTCCGGCTGTGGGAATGAATGGCTCCGGCACTGCCCCACCGCTGGATCCGGGGAGCAAAGAGCATCTCTGGGTCACTTTGCCTCCACTGCAGTGGCTTGGTGCTGCCATCCCCTTTCCCAGTGGATTTTTTCCTTCCCATCACACACAGCGGATCTGCCCCAAGGGCAGGGACAGAGCCCGCGCCGTGGCCTCGCCACCCTCCACCAGCTCTCCTGTATTGCCCCCCTGGCACCACAGCGGCGATGGCCCTGTGCTGTCCCCCCACAATCTTTAGGTCTTGAGGGGGGCTTGGTCAGCTCCGAGTCCTCCCTGGAGCAGCACCAGCGGTGCCCAACCTGCCCAGACCCCGGTGTTGGGATCCAGCTGCTGAGCCTGGGAGATGCCTCCATCCCAGCACCCTCTGCACGCTGCTCACCGCAGCTCTGTGCCGGCTGCAGCAGGGCGAGCGGTGCCGGATCCGTGCGCAGGAGCTGATCTAATGGGAAAGGGTGATCCATGCGGGAGCGGGGAGAGCTTCCCGGGGTGGATCCTGGTCCTTTGGGAGCAGCCTGGTTCACTTCACCTCCTGCCTCAGTTTCCCCAGCTGAGAGCTGTCAGTGACCTTCCCACCTTGGGGCCCAGCATGGGCACAGGGTGCCGTGGGGATGCTGCTGTGGGAGACAGCACAGGGTGAGTGCCAGGGGCTGGGCTCATCCTGCACCCATGGAGATGCTGGATCCGACCCAGAACTCCCAATGCAGCCCAGGCAAAGAGGATCGGGGCAGATCCTGCAAGGGGGAGGCAAGGTCACCCCGTGGGGCTGGAGGAGGAAGAGGGGCGCAGCGCTGGCCTGTGCCCAGCCAGGGCAGAGGTGGAAGGGGGAGCCTGAAGGTCCATGCCACAGGGACCTTGGAAGCCAGAGCCTGCCCCCAGGCCACAGGCGCCGGCGGCTCTCGCTTATCTGGGTGCTGGGTCCTGCCCAGCCCCGCGGCAAGGAGGGACGAGGAGAGCCCCGTTCCTGCCATAGCTGCTCCCAAGGGAGATGCCGGCCCAGCCAGGGGAGCAGAGTGCGGATGGGGGTGGTTCTGCTCCCACACTTTCACTCCTTCGGCTTTATCTTCACTCACCCATGGGCCAGGCTTTAAACACACCCCACACAGCACCATGCGCCGAGGCTTCCCTGCAGGCTTCCCCATTGTGTTGAATCCGGATGCCCACACAGGAGCAGGAGCTGCCTCTTCGTGGCTCACCATGGCCGGACACTGCCGGTGCAGGTGATGCTGCCGGGATGCTGTGATGGAGCCATCCCTTCCCAGCACAGGCAGGAGCAACCATTGCTGTTTAATCCCTGTCTCCAAGAGAAACCGGCTCCTTGCACCTGAGCAAGGACACGTTTGCCTTTTCCAGGGCCATTTGTGGCCCAGGCACCCTTGTAGAAGACCCGTTTTGAAGGCAGCGAGCGCAGCGCTGATTGAAACCATCACAGCAGTCAATGCCCACGTCCCAACGATCGCTTGCAGGGTCACTGCTGCCCGAGTGCCCATGGACACGGCTCATCGCTGGGATTTTCCATATCCTGGGGCAAGCAACAACAGTTCCATGAGCCAGGGCCCATGGGAGGGATGTGGAGCAAGAAGCTCCTGCTGAGGGGTGCAGCGGGGTGGGAAGCAGCACCCATGGGGCTCAGCAGGACCTTGTCCCGGCTGCCTGCAAGTGATGGAGCTGTTAATGAGTAATGAGAGAGCTGCCATCGGTGCCACTGCCCAGCAAGGGGCAGGGAATGGGGCAGAGGACGAGCAAGAGCCCTTCCCGGCTGCACCACGCTGGCTCTGTCCCAGTGCAAGGGGCAGGAGCTGAAGCGTGCGATGCCACAGCCGGTGGCTGATGTGTTCTGGCACCCTTAGGTGACATTTGGGATGTGAGGTCCCAGGGATCAGGCACGGGGAGGCCTTGGGGCAGCCCCCACCTCTCTGCCTTGGTAGGATGTGAAAAACGGGATCTTTTTCTGGAAGCTGATGACTTGGAGCTCGGTCAGAGCCAGCAGTGGGGAGTCGAGACAACCACCTGCATCAGGGATCAGCTTTTCCCCAGCCACGTTCACCTCAAGCCAAGCCCACGCTCTGGGAAGGAGCCATTCCCTTGGGATCATGGGGGGACAGGAGGGTGCTAGGAAATCACTTCCCAACTGTTTCAACACTCACTGAGGTCTCCAGTCGTTATTCAAGGGGATGAAGGAAGGGAACGAGAAGCAGAGACACAAAAGCATGGTGAGCCCCAGCCCCTTGCAGGCATCACCCCAGGTTGGGTGCTGTGTCCCCATCCCTGATCACAGTACCGCTGAGCAGCAGCAGCACCTGAATCCCATGGGAGACGGAAAGGCTGGGAAGCTGATGGGATGGGGAGGCTGCTCGCTTTATAAGCTCTTCCAGTCATTTCCAATGGTTGGCATCCTCCTCTGGGCCCGCGGCCAGGCCCTCGCCAGCCTCCGGGAAGGATGCGGCTTGAACCCAGCGATGCAGCTTTCCACATCAGGAAACACATCCAGGGACCCAAACGTGGCTGAGCTGGGAGCACGGAAATGCAGCAGGAGCCACTTGTTTCCTTGCCAGCCCCATGTCCCGCCGCCAGCCTGCTCACTGCTGGGATGCGCTGCCACTCCAGCCCAGTGCATCCTGCATTCTTCTTGCAGCTGGGTCACAGAATCATGGAATCGCAAATGGTTTGGGTTCAAAGGACCTTAAGATCATCCAGTTCCAACCGCCTGCCATAGGCAGGGATGCCTCATATGTCATCATCCCTTTGCAGCACTGGAGCAGTGTGGCATGGGGTGCTTCATGCGGCCCCAGGTACATCCAGATCAGATGCTCTTTGGGAGCAGTGTCCTCCTGGGAGCTGCCATTGGCAAAGGTCACCCTTGGGCCTTTCAAGTGAGGGATGGTGGTGACTGTGGGGACCTCTGTGCAAGGACAGGACCTGGCCACCAGCTCCAGGTCCCCTCCACCGCCATGGTACCGCAGGACACCGGGACCCGCAGGCCACGGCTCCAGGGATGCCGATGCTGTGGCTCCTCGCTCCGGTCCTGCCCTCACTGCTTTGCTCCGGTTCACCCCGGTGATGCTCAGGATCAGAGGGACGGGAATTGGGGATCCCAAAGGGTGGTCGCAGCCCCCGGTTGGGCGCACACCGAGGGGGGGGGGGTCACCCGGTGCCGGTGCCCTGGCTCCGTGTGCGTGTCCCCCGCCACCGGGGCCACCTGCGGGTGGCGGGGAAGGGGGGGGGGGGAGGGCCGGGCCCCGGTGCGGGCGGAGCTTCCCGCACAGCCCCGCCCCGCAGAAACTTTCCTTCTGCGCCGGGCGCTCGGCGGGAGCCCGGAGCGGGGCCGGGGCTGCAGCGGGAGCCGGGCGGGCCCGGCCCTATGGGCAGCGGCTGCGGGCGGTGCGGGGCGGTGCGGGGCGCTGCCCGCCGCGGCC